CGGAGTCCTTATATCTCCTCTATATTGCTCTGTTGCCCAGCACCCCAGCCTCTTGCAGCAGGATGCTGCTCCTTCATCAGTGATTTGGTATTTTGTTTTATCCTCATCATTTGATCTGTGGCCTGGTTTTATGTACTGCATGCACTCAAACTACTCTGCAGGCAGGCTTGCTAGCACCTTCAAGGGCTTTTCTGTTGTGCTTAGTACAAGAGCTCTGGTTCTGCAGTAACACTGATCTTCACAAAACCCCTATGAAAGAAGAGGTAGAGCTATCCCAGTTTTGGGCATAGTGGGCTGAAGGTCGAAACATGCCACTTCATGCTGTGTTCCCTGGTACTCTGATGTTCTAGTCGCCTCACTGTGATGGAAGCACCTCCTATTCTGACACTCCTCTTTCCACAGGCTTTGGTCACAGAGGTGCCTCAGCAGAGGGAAAGTGGCAGAGAAAACATAAATTCCTGCCTAGCTGAACTCCTGAGCACTGGATGTTGCAACTTGAGTAGTGTTATTAAAATAAGATTACAAAGACTTTTATAATGTGAGCTTGCACATGAGCTTGTTGTAGGCAAATAAGGTAAAAACTAAGTTCCTTCATACGCATGAGATTCAATGGCTGTCTTTGACCTTAAAGGTCCTCTTCAGAGACATTTCAGTACTTGAGCAAAGGTGTAACTGCCAGCAGTGGTGGGCCATGCTTCTGAAGGGACCAGCACTGTGGCAGAGCAGGAGCACGGTTTAACTACTGCCTTGCCAGTATGTTTAACAGGTATTTAGTGGACAAGTGATAAAATGTGACATTACTGAGTTACACCTCTCAGCTGCAATGCCTGCTTCCCTTAGGTTATTTCCCACGCCTGGTTCTCCCCCACCCCAGGGACCTCTTCCTTACCCCTTCTCTGCCTGTCCAGCCTGTCACTATCTCTCATGCTCATTACCTTGTTATAGACTCGCTGTTAGACCTGATCTCTCTGGGGATCTTTCCAAGCTTCAAAAACTCAACTGCTGCTTCTAGTTCCTTACCTACACACTCTCCTTCCCTGCCTGTTTCCTGTCCCATCACCCTGTTGGTTTCCCCATAGCCCACCCCCATTCACTCCTGCCTTTGGATTTACCCTCTGACATTTCAAGTCATTGCCTAAAAGTCTGGGAAGTCGGAGCTTTCTAAAGAGAAGTTCATGGTAATTTTTTTTTTTTTTTTCAGAGGGATTAACACTTTTTTTAACCTACACTTCTCAGAATCACCTGAAATTATTTGTGTGAGGGTTTAATTAATAAGGGTGTCTCACTATTGAGGGTTTTCACAAAAAATGCAGTAGGCTGAAGCCCCCGACCTAGAAAATACCAGCCCGGGCAGTTAGTTTTGAGACATTATAGGCACCCAAAAGCATCGTTTTATAATGGAAATATTTGTCAACCTTTTCTGATGGACAGCATGAGCCTGCGGTCAGACCTGTGTTGCTTTGCAGCCCAGCAGAAGGGGTTTGCCGTGGTGAATGTTTGTCACTGTAATTCCTCTACAAATTATTTGGAGTTGGGATTTTCTAAAACATTTAAGAGAACAGGAGACATTGAGCCATCACTGAATTTTGAATTAAAATGGGATTTAAACTTCACTGCTTGAAAATCCAGGTCTTAAGATGGCAGATGGGTACTTTGTCTGAGTGGTCTTTCTATCTAATCAGCACATAAATATATGTGGCTGTATTTTGATGTGAAAATTATTTATGTTATATTAACACTTGAATTCTTCATAATCTTTCACTGTGCTTGCTGGTGCTTCACGCCAAACACATGCTTAATGAAAAGACAACGCTCTAGCCTTTTATATAAATTTAAGTCTAAAACTTTTAATATGTATTTATAGTAAAAGCCAGGTGTGATGTCACACCAACACAATAACGCCTATAGAGAAGAGAGAGACAGGTTAACCAGAGACTAACTTTTATTGTGCATTTTTATGCAACAGAACAAATGGAACTGGAGGTATGTAGTAATAAAACCAATATTCAAATTAGAATTAACCTGAAATAGTAAACTGTAGGTAACAAATGTCTTTATAATTAAAAAATATTGACTGTTTAAAAAATTCTTTAAGATCTTATATTTTTAAAAGAAATGTGTGTTGCCACATAGAAAACAATTCACACATCCTATAGAAATTGTCACAAAAACCTTACTAGTCTATATTACACTATGCACTTTTTTGTACAATATCTGGTAAAGGTCTATCCCTAACTTGTACTTACTCTACACAGTACAATCATCATTAGAAAGTATTCATAGAATTACCTACACCATAACAATAAAAATATCAGGATTAATGGTTTTTTAATCACAGTTTCTCCACAAATATTTGTCATAGAAAATATAGCGAAGGCATGTTGGCACAGATGGGCGTGCGGTACTGCTACACAAAGTTTGAGAGAAGGCAGATACATAAATGACAGTAAGATTAAAGAGTATGGAAGGATAAGACAAGAATCTCTATCCTCCTGGGACTTTCTGGAGCGACATGATAGATAGCGGTTTCCGTCTGTCGCAAGCCTGCTGTCTACAGCCAGAGCTGAGAAGGGATGTGCAGACTTACAAAGCACACTGCTGAAATACGGATACCTGGCTCTGCAAGGCCTTATGTGCTATCTATTATTTCTGGTCCCATACCATTATACCTAACATCCTGCAGATATTTAGACACTTAAATGTGTATGAATTTATAATGCCTCATGAACAAATTAATTGGAATAAGCTGTTGTGAAAGGTTTGTTTGTTGGATTTTGTTTGGTTGGTTTTTTTTTAAATGAAATGGGTGGGTCAACAGTCAAGTGGCCACGATGGCAATTAAAAACCAAGACATACAACTAGGAAAAGTTGTTGTACTCTGTTATTTTAAAACCAAACATGAACAAAAAAAAAGATGAGCTAGTGTCTGCTAATGCCTGTCTGCAACTACCGTTTATGTCACTGGCCAGTGCACACAAGCAACTGAGGGCAAAATTTTATTCTTAAATAAAGGTTCAAACCTGCAAAGCCATTTCTAATGCCAAAGTGGCTTTCAGGATGAAGCTACACGTTTGGCTATTTTGCACAATATGAGAGCAGAGGATTGTGATAGATTCCAGAATGCTGGCTACACACTTCAGGCTAAAAATAAAGCTAGGCTTACTAGTTTATTAGTCCTTTCAGCAAATCATTAGGTTATTAAATGAGAGAGGTTTGTCCAGTCCATAATTCTGTTCTGTGACTATTAAAAATGAAGCGTTTGTATTTTTTACCTCATACAGTTAAACATTTGAAAGGAAACCATCACAGTTTTTACAAAAATACAGCATGATACATATTGCTGTGGACAAATCTACAGTATAATGTTGACTCACACGTTCTGACATGTTTTACCAAGTAGTTCTGGCAAGTGTCACCACATTAAACATAGACCAGCAAGACTTACACCATCTGAGCAATGTAACATCTTCTATTATAGTTCTTTTTAAAAAAAAAGTGTAAGTTCAACACTGAAAAGCTACTATAGGATATCTGTACTCTGACATTTCTATACACCGAGTTTCTCCTCCAGAGGCCACCATGCACTGTTGACTCGAAGAAAGTCACCTCCTGCCTGTAGTGAGGGATGCCATCCCAAACCCCTTGGCCTGATGAGGTCCAGTGTGAATAAACTGCTCATTCACTTTGAAAAAATAAATGAGTTATTCTGGGGCAAGTGAGTGCCTTTCAACCCCCTTTTAAAAATCACCAAAAATAAAATTAATTGAGGGGCACTGGACATTTAAGGGCCTAAAGCATATCCTGGCTGAGGGAGGTCCCATCTATGGTGGTGCATGGTGGAACCTGTGTCCTGAGACGCCCCATGGGTCTGCCATGAGAGACCAGTCAAAAAGGAGGCAGATGGTGGGTAGAAACATGTGGGTAAGGTGATTGTTGAGAGACTGCCTGGGTCCTCACTTGTGGTCAGGCCGGAGCTAGAGGAGTGCTTCACCCCAGAGGGCCCTTCCTGATCTTTGAAGAAGGGGTTGGGTGTCTCCTGCCCTGCCCAGTGCATGGGGAGAAGGTTGGGAAGGAGAGAAGGGTAAAAGGAGCAATTAGTAGCTTCTCTTGTGGCTTGCACATGGTGGTTAGGAAAGCTGGGGAGCATGAGACATGTGTTCAGGAGAGTCAATGCTGATGAGGTAGCACTAAGGATGGTCAAAAGCGAAGTGAACTTTTCTTTCCAAAAACCAGTTTCCTGTACCTGCCAATGGGGAAATGTTGCATGGTTCAGGCTGTGAAGGATGCCAGTGCTGGCCTAAGCAACTGGACAAGGGTAAGAAGATGGAAACACCCTGACACAGAAAGGAAAGAGTATTGATTCTTTGGCATTGCATTATTTCTGGAGTGCATCAATGTGAAGGGACAACGGACTTCTAAGCCTTTAAAATTAAAGGTTTTCAGTGAACTGATTTTTTTTTTTTTTTAAAGTTGCTATCTGCTTCCAGTGTTGTGTACCATGGTGAATTCTGCTCTAACACAGCTCTTTTCTTACAGCTCTTAGTCTGGACCCCATACAACAGAACATTAAACTAGGCTCTTCTTACCCAACCCCTCCCTGAATGCAACACTGAGCATCTGACTATTAAGACTGGCACATTGCCTCATCTGTTTCAAGGAATGGATATAAAACACAAATGAATGCAAAAGCAAGAAAAGGCAATTTAAAGCCTCTAAAGCTATAGGAACAGACAAAGCAAAACCTGTTTTCTGAAATGGCAATTTGTTTTTAGCAATCTTGTTTTAATGAAAACTGTCATGATCAACTCTAATCCCTTAGAAATCTAGATAAATATAGTGTCTATCTGATATACAAAGCAATTTTTATCTGTTAGATGTGCCTGTTATTGTTCTGGGTCTTTGAAGGATTCTGCTGTTGACGAGCGCTGCTGTTTTACCTGGGAAACTTAATTTCCTGGCAGAGTTGGCTAAAGGAAGTCCCTGAATTTTTCATCCTGTGTGGTATTTTAAGGTAGCATTTATAATTATGTTATTTTCTTTTAGGAAATGGAAGACCACTTCTTTTTTTGTTGTAAGCGTGCAAACTTGTTCTTAAATCTCCTATTCAGGGAAAGCAAATAGTGCCCAGCTGTTCTGGGTCCAGACCTGGGCTTGTTATCAACAGGCAGAGGAGATAGTAGCTGCTGTTTCTTTTGACATTTTTATAGTTTTTAAATGACCTTTCCTCTAGAACTAGATGAAATGAACTGCAATTTCCCTTTGAGGGTGCTATGAAGGATTTGCAAATAATAGGCACTGAGAAGTCCCACAGAGCAGGTCTTGAAATGGATTTCTTTCTGTTAACTGGGACATGGTAGGATGGAGAAGCTGAAATGTACGTAGTATGTATTCAAACATGCTTTGGACTCTTAAATGACAGCAAGGTAAGTATGTTTAACAAATAGTCTCTCCTAAATTAAGTGGTTCCTACTGTTGTATGAGGTTCTTCTCTCTGCCATCAATCACCAGAGCCATCTTGCATACCTCTATTGAAGACTTCGTCCTGTGATCCCGGATGGTCAGTCCCTTCGTAATACGAGTTCCCATTGTGAAGGAAAGTCCCCACCGCACGCCCCTGACGAGCATGTCCTACTGCGTCACTGAATACCTTGTTTATTTGCTCTTCGGATGGCATCCACCAGTCTGGGTTGGAAGTACAATGCATCCTAATGAACTCTGCAGGAAAACATGCAAGGAGAAACAGAAGCAACAACTTGTCTTTGTGGCATCCGTTATGGCCCAGATGTCAAAAGCTCATGGGAAATAAGAAAGGGGACATTACTGTTCTACTTAAGCACAAGTAAAGCCTTATGGGGGATGCCATGATAATGCCACTTGGACCTATTTTATTTCTGTGTGTGTTTCTTCACGTGCCATGTATGTTATATCTGAGGCAATTATGTGACGTATAGGACCTGGAGACAGAATCTCCTCTTGTGGAAAGGACCAATTGTCCTTTTTTATTGTCCTAAGTGACGACTGTGATTCAGTGTGTGCAATACATGTGAAAGTTAGCATGAACCAGGATGTGTTTCATCTGAAACCTGTTGTGTATTTATACCTGAAGGTGATTACTCTCGCATATCTGTACGACTTCCCTCTGCTGGCTGCTTCAACATCAGCAGGCTGCACCAGCCCACAACCTGCCTAAAAATGTCACTGCCATTATTTCCATTTGGTGCTCCTTTCTGTTTGGAACATCTTTCATTTTAAGTCCTGCTCTTTCCATCTTCCTGAATCTGACACCTATTTTTCAGAGACTAAATTGGTCTTAGAAATAGCTAAATGAGATGAGAGGGCTAATTTGGGGAGCCTTGCAATAGTTTTCAATGCAGGAGAAAATGAATTGTATTGCATGTAATTCGGCTATTTAAGTAGCTGCAGCTTCCACATCCAGCTATTTGTATGTGATGATTACATTTTTTATAATTTATTTTTCAGATTCTTTGACATGCAATATGCTAAACTTGCATAAGGTGCCTTACCAATTCTGGAGTTGTAACTGCTAGACATAGCTCAAATAGGTATATTTGGACTTTGAAATGTCCAAATACAATTTTAAATGTGAGGGCATCTTATTAGATACATTGGATACACTGTACCTCATATGGAAACTGAACTTCTTGTTTATTCTGTAACATTAGTTATTCCCTCGTGTGGTATTGTGTGTCCCAGGATATTTTTAAATTCTATTTTCTACTGTTGACAAGCCAACAGCACAATAAGTGGTGTAAGGTAACTTCATTACTGTCACCACATCTTGAGACCAGGGAATGCTGTGCTTTTACGTGAGTTCCTGTGCCTGCAAGGTATCTCATCTGTTGGACAATTAGGATGTGATTTTTGCATAGCTCCTCCAGCAGTGTGTCTGTAAAAGTGATAGCTATCTCGGTTTTAAATTCATTTCCCTGGAAATCCACACAGGCAACAGTAATTCCTACCTAGTTATGTTCACATGGGGCTCCACAGACTGGTGTTTTTCTCAGAGAAACGGTTACCATGTAAAGGAGTCATGCTATAATTTAAGCATGCCAGACTGTTTTAAAGCTGGTTTCAGGCATCAGTCAGTTGTAGGAATATATTACAAATGTTTATAGATGTTTAAGCTACTCTGAGTGCAGAGGGAGAAGCAGTTTGTACTCCCTGCTATGGTGGGAAGTCATAATTGCACGTGCTGAGAAATAGACACTTGTTACTTGACTTGCAAATGGGTGGGAGCCAGTGGCCAACTCTTGGCACCGGAGGAAGTTGTCATGTTCCCACCCATGCACAAAAGCCCAAAGGGAGAACTGTCTACTCTGCTTTCTTAACTGGTCCTTAGATACTGAGTGTTTGTATTCCTCTTCAAGCTTCTGAATATTAAGGAAATTTGCCTTTCTCTTTCTCCAAAGGAGCACTCCACACATTCTGGGGAGGACCCCAGAAAGGAAAGTGGCCATAAGCAAAAGCCCATCTACAGGTGGATTTACTGTTAAGTCTTGGTGAGAGGCAGGGGGAAGAAACAGGTATCAACACTCTGCCTGTGCATAAATTATTAGGTGAAATTTAAAGTCATTTAGTAAATGGCTAATGCATTTGTATTCAGCCTTCAGTTTCCAGGAGAACTTCTGGGACTCTGAATCTCATTCCAGACCTCCGTGCAACACGGTGTGCAATGGACTTGCCCTTCTATTAAGGTGTGATAAAGTCTGGCAGAGTATCATGCAAGAGGTTAACAGGTTCCTTTGTAGTTAAAAAAGAGCCTCTTTGGTTAATTTGGCTGTATGTAAAATCTGAGTTCATTACCTGGTTACATCAAGGTATCCCAACTACAAGTTTTATCTACTTGTCCATGTTGGTTTCTTCTACCCTAGATGGGAAGAGGCTCCATCTGATGTATATAACTTCTCTAGACTCCAGTTGGATGACTAAGGGTATTTTTATCACTGACTGTCCAAAAAATAGTTTTTTCCACTGCACTGATTAGTAAAACACTCTTGAAGTCAAAATTTCATGTATGTGCTCACAAAATACCATAAAGTTAACTATGAGTTAATTAAAGAAATGACAAACATAGGCATTCATAAAATGCAAATGCTGATACTATAAACATGTTTTTAATTGGGCTTTAAAAAGTCCTGTTTCATATGTTTCATTATAAAGCCCAGTACCAGGCCTTTCGAACGATTTTAGGAACCAAAGTATGAACTGTCACAGCAGATAATTCTTCTCAGTCTGGACCCTTTCTCTGCATTCTCCAACATCCTCACTCTCCGACATTGTGAAATGCTTGCAAAACTCCCCTCCTTTTCAGGCTAATCACGGGGGGAAGTTGTTCCCTAACTTTTTCAGTCAATGTTGCATCAGTACTACAAAAAAGAAGTTAAATCCTTGACAATGCGTTTGTATACACTTTGAATGTAATTAACCTGTAGATGTTCTTGGCCCTACAAAATGTTCAAAGCTATTCTGTTAGCCTTTACCTCCAATGATGCACTGTGGCCTTGAGAGCCATGTGCTTACCACACATTAGGCTAGAAATATTCCTTTGGTTAATTTTGCCATATATCAGTGTTAAAGAATGCCTTGTTAGTTTATTTTAAAACAGTGTCATCAGGATTGTCTGATTTCCCTCCTTTGCTGTTTCAAGTTTCAGTGTCATGTGCCCTTGTGTTTGTCTCCTCTCTTAAATAAGCAGCCCTGTTTTTTTCCCATTCAAAAAAACCACAACCCACATAGATAATACATACATACATACATAAATATATGTATGTATATTAAAAAAAAAAAAAAAAGGAGGGTTTCTGGCTGCTTGTCACCTGCCTGTGAAACCCCTTCTAGTTCTGCAACCATCAGCCAAATGCTTCTACTGAGCCAGAGCCAATGTGGTGAAATGAGATCACGTATGGTGGACACTGAGCGAAAAGATGCAGTACCTCTGAGACATGTTACTTTTACTGGATCCAGAGGACGTCTTTCAGGACCTGTCTCTCCTGACTGCACTGACCTTTTCCTTTTTCCAAGGCCGCATGAGTACTTAAGCTCATCGGTTGTGAAAACAAATCTGATGAGATAGCGAAGGAGCCGTCGTCCATCTTTCTTGGAAGAATTTACAGCCTCATCCCACTGTTTACTAGTGATGTAGACGGGGTAGTTGTTCAGCAACTGCTTGCTCCCCTGAAAAAGCGAAATATTTCTGTTGCTTATTTTACAAGGCAAATAAGTAAAGATGTCAGTTGCAATAAAAATATGCTTTTTAACTAGCCGTGATACTGACAGTGAAACACATCCTGAAGTGAACACGTAATTGCTCTTACTGAGAATGAGAACTTTTAAAATTACATTTTCATTTTCTAGAACTCAAATTTGGTGAGGTACAAGGAATACGTTTTGAGAGGTGGCTATTGATAATTTCCACTTTAACAAGCAGGTTCAAGAGAGTTAAGAACCAGTGACTGGGGATACTATTTAAGTATAACCTTTCTTCTTAATCTGTTAAAATGTAGAAGAAGAGTCTTTGAAGAGTCTGATCAAACAGATGACTTCATTGCAGCTGACAGTTTACTTCAGAGGTGACTCTTTTGGTCTTTTTTTCTAATAAATTTATTACTTCTGTAGAACACACCTGAAACTTGACAGCAGTTATGTTACTGTGAAAAATATAAAGCAAATAAATAAAGCAGCTATGAAAACTAAAAGGTTCATTATTATTAATGAATGCTATATTAACTCAAATTATAGCTTTACAGAAGTGCCACCAAGTCAGTTGGAAAGAAATTTTGCTTTTAACCTTCATAATGTGTGCTTCAATATTCCAACATTAAATGAATGCTGTGGGACTAATTATGGGGATTCCTGTAATCCACACATATTTATAAGCCCTCTTTAGTCAATTGTACCCAAACTGTATTTAATTCTTGTTGCCCATAAAATGCTATAATTCAACATTACCTGATTAATATTAGACAGCACTCTTAATATACTTGAAATAACTGAAGTATACAAAAAAACCAAACCACACCCTCCTAGAGACTCAGTCACTTTTGCAGCTACACCTCTTTATGAAAACACATAAGTCTGGAGACCCAATTAGTGAAAGCTTTGTATAGCACCCAGCTTAGACGGAGACTCACAGTGAACTAGAGAAACTAGGGTCTGATGCTCAACAGAGGCAACCACTGTGGGCAACTGTTGCAAAGTTCCCCTCCTTGCTTCCAGATCTCTGATATCTGAAAACTATTTTATGGACTACCCTTGCCTCCTTTCAGATACTTATTACAGCATCCTGGGAGACATCTTGGGAGAATCTCTGAAGTTTTTCCTCAGGTATTTGCTTCTAATTTTTTTGAAAATTTGATAAACACGTGGAAGGTTGAATTTAGTGAAGACTGTGATGAGGGGGATCCTTGGAGAATCTTTGTATGATTTAGGGTATCACCACCTCTGCTGGTAGGGTCAGCATCACCGAGCCTGTGTGACTGTCTGCTACTTGTTCACCTCGGTGCAAACCTCGCTGGCTTGGTGCAAACTGCTGGCAAAGGCAGCTACAAGCAAATCCAAAACTCTGCAAAGGAAGCCAAAATATAAAGGAGGAGATGGGCTTTGTCTGTCTGATGGGTCCCTCTCCTTTCCCCAAAACATCTCAACCCTTTAGCTTGCAAATCCAATCTTGTAACCCTTAAAGGAAAGACCCTTTACCTATAGTCTAACTCTGTCTATAATTTGCATTTCACTTGCCTGCTCCCACTGCTGCAAAAGGGTCAGGATCAATTCCATCCCCTTCACTCCTGACGTAAGAAGCTGCTTTAATTTTTGCCAGGTACACGTGTTCCTGGGAAGCCAACAGTGTGGCTGAGGACCTATGCTGTGGGAAGAAAATTTCCTCCTTCCAGCCCAGCTCCTCTTCCACTGCTGACATAGCAAGGGGGCTGGGGAAGGAGGAAGAGCAGGGGGGCAGCATGGAAAGCTCTTTGGGGGTATGATGCTCTTATGCTGAAGCAACTGTGACCACTTCATCTCAGCAGGTGCTGACACTAGCACCTCCTTGGCTTGTTCCATCATAGAGGTAATGCACAGGACTATTTGATCCCCTCATTGATACTAATTTTTTTTCAGCAACTACCTCAGCATCCCTTTTATATAAAGGTAATTTTTTTCCTATCTTAGATTCTGAAACCTATTTCCCTATTTAAAACAAAACAAACCAAAACTATAGTGAAGAAAGAACCTTTCTTACTGACACCGGTGCAAAGTACAAGCTGCAGATAACTCTGTAGGCACTGCCTTGCTCTTGTGCCCTGGCACGCAGGAGCAATGCAACACAAGTCTGTAATGGCATAGTGTAAGGCTCCAGGCTTGCTCATGTGTGGCTTTACTAAGGAGCAAGATATCCTAAAAGCTACCTCTGTGTTTAAATGTATTGCACTGATGGAAACAGAGTGCAAAAAGGCCCAACAACTAAATTTCATGAGAGCTCACATTACTATTAACTGAGGAGAAGGCAATAGATTTTTGCATAATTTCCTCAGCCCAAATTTTATGATAATTCTCTCTTATTCCCCCTGAAATTTAAGAGTACTTTTCCTCCTTCTCCAAAGGTAGGATATACTGCTACGCTAGTCTGCTAAAAAATTACTGGGCTCCTGCTATGGATACACTTTCATTACTTCCTCTGAAAGAAAAGCACTTCTGGGCAAAAGATTCTCGGTAAATATATGATGCAGTTTGGTGTGGCCAGGAGTCATTAAACTAAAACAAACACAAAACCTTCCAGAAATGAAATAAGCAGATCCTGGAGGAAGAACCAAAGTACAAATGCGTTCATGCTTGTATTTGTACATGATTAAGCTTATGAATAAAAGATTAGCATCTATGTGTTTAATTGAATAAAAAATTCTGTCACATCATGACAAGCTATTCCATGTGGGATGTTACAGAACAGCCTAATTTTTTACAGTGCTTGAAAATTTTAGTTAAGCAAAAGAGCATTAAAAAAAGGAAAATGAATCCTTGGAATATATTTGAGTGATAACAGCTAATGATATATATAAATGTAAATATATATATGTATATGTATATATTAATTTGCACAGGATAAAACTGAATGGAGGAGCGAAGTGATGCACATGCTGAACTGCTGCAAAGCATCTTCAGTGAAACTATGGTAAGTCGGACATGAGGCTTGCTTTACATATCATTTATGTGCAAAGGGAGGTCAGACTAGACCTACGTCTTCCCTCTTCTCATTTTGTTTCCATGAATAATGGGTAGTGACATGTATATACTATGTACAGGAAAACATGCACAGCAAGAGCCTCAAATACAGACACTAGAAAAGCCTCAACAAAACCTCTTCATTTGAGGCACTTTTATAAGGCTGGATTGAAACACACTGGAGCAAAATTAATGTGAGTTACACTAGAGCTGATAGATAAATCTGCACATCTACCTTCTAGAGAAGGGGAGGACTTAAATTTCCTGCTTTTTCATTGCAGCAATTTTAAACAGATCATAACTACAAAAAATCCCCAAACTCTGTATCAAGTATAAAATTGTCAACACTCAACATTTTTTTTTTTTATGCTTTCTGAAAAGGAAGAGTGCTCCAAAGACTTGCAGAAGTCTGTATTTGGGTCTGTCTGCAAAACTAAGGAAACGTATATTTTAATGTTAACCACTTTAGGGCTGCATTTGAACTCTACTAATTGTATACACGTGTGCCTGTGTCCATCCACACGACATGTCGGTTCCCTCCACACATGGCAATCATCCAGCTGCAGTTTTTACCAGGCTAGCCCTGGCCTAAACTAACCCTAGCCTAAATTTTATCCACAAAAGTGATGTTTCTGAAGAAAGGTAAGAGAAAAATTACACAAAGCAAGGCAAGTGCAGCTGTGCTGATGCAGGGAGTTATGTGCTGCTAAGTCATCCTAGACTATACGAGTCTCCTCCATCTGAGGGATTACTGTACCTAAGAATGACGGTTTAATAAAGGATTTTACATCTTTTTACTACTAAATATATTCTTCCAGTGCCTACTGATTTATTTGCCTACATGTTTTCAATGAATTGTCAAACACAAAGAGATGTAGCTTGTCTTCACTGTATACTACCTCAGTCGGATGGTCTGTTGGCTGTGGTACCATAAGCTGGTTGTGATGCTGAAGTACAGTCTTCAAATAATCTAAAACAGTCTGGCAGGGCACTGCATGAAACAAATTGCAATTACTGAATATTAGCTGTCTAGCACAAAATAGAACAACAATATTAAATCAAGCAGCGTTCTTCAGGATCTATTTTGTACATCTGTGAGATTTATTTCAAATAGCAAATACTTCTCATTTTGATTTGTGCAGTCATTTTATTCAATAAATATATGACAGATGTATTTCCTATGGTGAGATCTCTGACACTGCTTTTATTTTCTGCCCACTAATTTGCAAAGTTGTTTTTTTTTTCCTAGTTTGAAATTATAATTATTACAAACACAAATTAGGTCAGCAGTAATGATCATAAGAAAAAAGTCTGTAAATACTGTAAACAGCCCAAACCATACAAAGGAGAAAACATTTATTGGACCTAAATCATGCACTGATTAATATGTAAATATGCTCAAATGTTTTTGAAACTACAGTCTGATTAACTATACTGAACAGATTTAATGATTCATATACTTTAATTTCTTTTCCCTCCCTCCTCCTAAATTTGTTACAAAACTAGGTGTTAGCCAAATTGCTTTATTTCTCTTTCCCTCATCCTCCCCCCTTTCCATTCCCATCACTCTCATCCATTTCAGTAGTGGTACCAACATCCTATTCCCTTCTGCTGAGGTGAGAGGTTAATTAGGGATGATTCAATTATGGGTCTCTCTTAAGCAGATGCTGCCACATCCCTGATTAACTCTGGAGTATTTTTGAGATACAGTGCTTTTCTCCTGAGCCTGAAACACTGTAGGAGAATTAAACAGATATTAACCCAAGATTATGACTGACTCGTGCAAGACTAAATAAGCATTATTTTAAGATACCTTATCATCTTCACATTTTGTCTGGGTTGTTTTTGTAAAATATTCAGATAGAATCGTAACTTCAGCTAAAAATCCAGGAAAAAAACACAACACTTAAAAAATAAAATTATTTCTTGGCATTCAGCCTTTACACCTGGAAAAATATGGTGTTTTGGGCTTTGTCTTAAATTGGCAATACGGGATTTACAGCCATTTTGCACCTTTTCTTGTGCATCCACACTGCACAGTAACTATGCCCCTGTCTAGGCAGACAGGGTGCAAAACACCTTTACTTTGTGCAAAGTAGAATCTTTACTAAGGGCTAAGCAGTGTTTCATCCAGTAGTCTACATAGAGAAGTCGTGCAGAGTGCCTGATGTGAATAATAAATTCCTGTGTTGTTTTATCCCACGCTGCCTTCTCTGTAAAGACGACCCATCAGTGTATTTACTCCTGTTTCATTTGACATATCCCACTTTGCCATAGTAGGTTAGGAGGTCATGCATTAGGCAAAAGCTTGCATTTCAAGTGACTTGTACTGTTTTATTTCTCCAGTGACTTCACTGCTCATTGCAGTGAACACCAGGGCAGTGTCTCAGTAGTGTAGCTGCTACACAGCAACACTGCCATTTGAGCAGGACAGCCTGGATGCTTCTTTTTTTTTAAGGAAAAAAAAGCCCTTTTAAGTGTCACCGGATGGTTTTAGGAAACGTTTCAATTATGAAAAAGTCAGAAGGGCAGTCAAGCTTAATAGTCCTACCAACATGTTCTGTGGCCTTCCTGTAATGAGAGCTGTGTATTTAGCACATAGCAGCAATCAAAAAATTCAGTACACGTTCTTATGTGGAATAAAGGAGAAAAATAACCACTGGTAAAGTTTTAGTACACTGGATACTCAAAAGAAGGTGTTGCAAAAAAAGGATTTGGCTGCCCCCCCGCCATTTTAATATACAAGAAACCATATGTAGGCAAAAATATTTTTTTTCCCCCATGTGGATGGGCTGAAGGATAAAATTGTATTTTGAGGCCCTTTTCTTACACTCTGCATGTGTTTGCTGTCTGATGTGTCCACGATGAAGCTTAAATGAGGAACACTCATGCACAAATTACTCTCTGATTAAGCAGGTGTTCAAGACAGAGGATCACGAAGGCTCGCGGTCCCGACCAGCATCAGAAACCCTGTGACAAGGTCAGCAAAACCTCCCACTAGGGTGGAAGCTACTGCAGGCAACTTCCAGATCTCCTGCCAGGTGACAGTAAGGATGGAAGAGGCCACGATAGGTGGTTGTCCTACTGCCTGAAAGACGCCTGATATTTGGACTTGGAGGACAGTTGAATGGTACTTGGGAAACCAGAATCACAGAATCACAGAATCACA